TGCGCGTGTCTCCCGAGGCAGATGAAGCTCCGTCTCGTCTATGTCCGGGGGTGGTATTCCTAGAACGGCATTCACAGGTCTAGAGTCTACATAACTCGAGACTGAGTCCCTGTGAATGCCGTTCAGGGCCTGTCTGTAAGCTGTCGGGTCCAGAGGTTGCTTAATAACCTCTGGACTTCGTCCGTCAGTTCATATAGATGCCTCCTGACGTGCCTAGGCGAGGGCTCCTCTGCAAGCAGCTGTCTGCTTGGGTGGCCACTTCTGTGGCTCCCGATCAGGAACTGCTTGCAGAGCATTATATTATGCTCCTTCAATGGGAGCATTTGCGCCTCGCCGTGCAGTGGTGTTCAGGCGACATCAAGAGGCAATCCGTCGCTGTCCTAAGTGCCGTATTTGTACGTCTGTAGCTTCGTCCACTGCGTCCTACTAGTGCCCTGGCGACCACACTAGCGCTGCGTAGTTCAAGCCGGTCCGGCCTATTGCCTTGTATGTTGCCAGCAACGTTTCTTTGTCTTTGCCCCAAGTACTGCCGGCTAGCGACTTGAGGACCTTGTTGCGGCTCTGTACTTTATTGACAATAGCGGTTGAGTGCGCAGAGAAGGAGAGCAGGCTGTCGAATGTTATTCCGAGCATTTTGGGGTTATTCACCGTCGGAATTGGTGTGTCATCGACGTGAATCCCCAGCGGTAGCCTGACCTCCTTCGTCCAGGTTGTGTGCAGGGTCGCGGAGGATTTCGTAGGGGAGAGGGCTAGACACTTTGCAGTGAAGGAGCGAGAAAGTTCGGAGAGATAGCCGTTTACTTTCGAACACAGGTCATCAATTCCATTCCCAGTCGCCATGATCGAGCACCTATATCAGGGTGATATCCTGCCGGGCAGCAGGTGACAGGTGGTATGTATATGTTAAATATTTTGAGCTCGATATCGCCTGAAAGGTGAAACCTTGCTGTGGCAATGAAGTTTAACAACATTTAATTCAGAGGAACTCAGCGGCATGGATCACGCTGAGCTATCAGTGAGATTGGAGCAGCTGGATCGCATTCAGGATCAGTTCGAATCAACACAATCTCAAATGGAGGAAGAATACCCCAACGAGCTGGAAACCAGCACTCGTGATGAATTCGCTGCCACTTTCATACGAGCTAAGGGAGCACTTACAAGGGAGTTGAATAAGATGGACCCCCAGTTTATGTCTTCGACTTGGAATCCACCGCCTCAAGAGCAGTCATCTGTGATTGTGGTGAAGCAACCAAAGTCGCACCTACTACAACTACAATTGCCATTATTTGGAGGGGCATACACAGTGTGGCCAAACTTTTTGGGCATGTTTCAAACGGTTATCTACAATGACACCGAGCTGTCAAGCACCTCCGTTCATGCCTGAAGGGCGCAGCAATGGACACCATCCAGTCGCTTGAAATTCGTGATGAAAATTACATAATGGCATTAGATTTACTCGTTCAAAGATTCGATAATCGCCGTTTAATTTTTCAGGAACACATTCAAGAACTATTCGGATTGCAGAGGGTGAGCGCTGACAAGAAATCAGGAGAACTGCGGGTGTTTGGGGACAAAGTTCTATCGCATGTTCGAGCGTTGCAATCACTAGGCACCTCTGAACAAATTGCCAATTTTTTACTCCAATACATCACAGCTCAGAAACTGGATGCTCTCACTCCTACACTTTGAGAAACAAAAGTGCCACAGACACCTAGCACACAGGTGAGCAATAACAAGTTTCGTAAAACCTCCTTTATCATTTCAAAGGCTACTCAAAAAACCTGTTCGGTCTGTAATAAGCACGACCAAGCAAATGACCGCTGGAAGGAATCCGAAACCAGGCTATCACATGCAGCAATGCAAGTCCTCTGCATTCCGCCGGTGCTCACTGAAGTACCACACGCTACTGCATTTTTCTCAAACAGATCAGACAATGCCTAGCGCAGCTGAAGTCTCACCTAGTCCACCAGAGCCAGCAGCTCTCGTTGCCATGACAACAAGCAGCGACTCACTCTCATCCCCTTCACATGCTGACTCAAACGAATGTGTGCTTCGCAGCTTAATTTTATAACGACCAGATTTGCCAATCAATTACAGCTTAAAAAATCAAAATCGTCTGTCGCAGTTTCGGGTATTGGAGATTCAGAACTCGTTAATTCCAGCATTAACATCACCGTTCAGTCACTACACAACGGATTCACCGCGAACCTAGACTCGGCCGTAACTCAAACAATAACCGAGCATTAACCGAATTATCCGATTGAAATCACTGGTTGGGACATTCCGGCGAACATCAACGTGTGGATGTTTTGATAGGGGCCGGCACATTCTTTTATTTACTTTGTATTGGTCAAATTCGCCTGAAAAACAATCATATTTTGCAGAAAACTCGTCTTGGCTGGGTGGTATCTGGAGGTCGAGGTATATCGTCGAAGCCATCCGCACTTACAACTCCAGCAACAAATTCACTTGATTGGGAAACCGATCATCGATGCACTCATGACATAGTGCGGTAATTGTGGGAAATAGACAACAGCTTTGAACCTATTCGAAGAGTAACAAAGGAGGAAATCGATTGCGAAGCTCACTTCAATGAAAACTATAGTCCCATGGCGACAGGCGAATATTCGGTTCGGCTACCCGTAAAGCCCAGCGTACACCTACTTGTGGATTCATACCAGCAGGCGTAGCGCCGGTTCCTGACTCTTGAAAGACGCCTTCAACGTAATGATAATTTGAAATCACTATAAGTATCGTTTATGAAGGAGTATCGCGAGCTTCATCACATGTCTACTATATCGAAGCCACCGTCATCGGTGCCCACATATTTCATGCCTCACCATTGCGTGTTCAAGAACGAAAGCACAACAGCAAAACTTAGGGTAGTCTTCTACGGATCAGCACTGACAACAACTGGTTATTCGTTAAACGAAGTATTGATAATAGGTCCAACCATTTAGGCAAAACTAGCCGACACCCTAATTCGTTCTCGCTCACATTCTGTTGCCCTAACATGGGACATTTGTAAAATGTATCGGTGCATCCGAGTCACCGCACCTGACAGTTATTTGCAGTACATACTTCGGAGAGATGATCCGAGAGATGAAATCCAAATTTTCAAATTCGACACGGTAACGTACGGGACAAAATCTGCACCTTTCTTGGCAGTTCGCACCATGCATCAGCTTGTGGCCGATGAAGAAGCTTCGTATCCTCTCGGCGCTCGGATTGCTCATCGCGATTTTTACGTTGATGACCTAATTGACGGCGCTGACACTATTGACGAAGTAAAACAAATAATGCATCAAACATCTGAACTGCTGGGTAGGGGAAACTTTAAAATTAGGAATTGGTGTTCAAATATGCAAGAAGTGCTTAG